GCTGCCTTCACGGACCTCCTGCTGCCAGGCCCCGAGGAGCCGGTGGTCAACGTGGCCGTGGTGTTTGGGGGCACATCCTACCCCCTGCACATCCGCTCCCGCCTGAGTCCCCAGAGCTTCCTGGACATGCCTCTGGAGATCCACCCCATCACCGTCGTCGTCAACAACACCAACCCCAGCACCCTCCTCACCCAGATCTGCAACATCCTCGCCAGCCACAAGATCCACGGCATCGTCTTCGAGGACAACGTTGGCACGGAGGCCGTGGCCCAGATCCTTGACTTCGTCTCCTCCCAGACCCAGGTCCCTGTCATCAGCATCAGCGGGGGGTCCGCCGTGGTCCTGACCCCGAAGGTGAGGCATTCACTGGGGGTTATTTCCTGGGGGCGGGGGTGGGAGAAATGAGGGATTATTAGAGGGGGTGGATATGGGATGTGAAATGCTGGAGGGCAGAGGAGCTGCTGGGCTGCAGCACGGGGGCTCGTGGGCAGGAATAGGCAGTGGCTGCGGCAGTGTGGCCGACCGGGGCGGTGGGATATGGAGAGGACTTCAAGGAGGGGCCCTGTTGATGGGATGTGGGAGAGGACTTCAGTGCCCTGTGGAGGGACCTTCCCTGGTGTCCTGCTTCCCATCCCCTCCAGGCTGTGCCCACCGTAGGGTGCCGGGGTCGTGGCGCTGGGGCTGCCGGGGCAGTGTCAGGGTTGGCACATCCTCATCCTGCTCCCTCCCCACCCTGCTCGGGCCGGATCCAGCCCTGAAATGGCCGGGCAGGCAGCATGGAGAAGCCTCGCTCGGCTGCGGCAGCGATCTCAGGTGCACCACGGGCTGAAACAGGATTTTTGGCTTCTCTGCTCCTTGCTGGCGTCAGACGCTGTCACTGTCACTGTCACCTGCCTGCCGGGAAGCGCTGGCGGCAGGGAGAGCTGGAGCCGGGCTGGAGGGTGCTGGGCAGGCAGCGATGGGCTGCGGCGAGGCTCCTGTCCCTCCCGGGGAGGAGATTTGGGTTATCTCCTCCTGGCTGCTCGTCTCACCCTGCCCAGCCTGGTGCTGGCTCCTTCCCATGGCAGCAGCACCCGGGGTGGAGACCCTGCCGCTCCTCAGGGAACCGGTTTCATGCTCTGCTTACTGTCACTGTCCCCTGCCTGCCGGGAAGCGCTGGCGGCAGGGAGAGCTGGAGCCGGGCTGGAGGGTGCTGGGCAGGCAGCGATGGGCTGCGGCGAGGCTCCTGTCACTCCCGGGGAGGAGATGTGGGTTATCTCCTCCTGGCTGCTCGTCTCACCCTGCCCAGCCTGGTGCTGGCTCCTTCCCATGGCAGCAGCACCCGGGGGGGAGCCCCTGCCGCTCCTCAGGGCACCGGTTTCATGCTCTGCTTGCCCAGAGGCTTTGGGGTCTAAATCCCCTGGATGGCACCTCGGCAGCCCTGCCTGCACCCACTGGTGCTCCCGGACCACCCCGAGCTGCTGCTCGCTGTGGGTGGGTGGCAGTGGGCGCAGTGGGCTCAGGTGGGTGCAGTGGGCTCGGGTAGGTGCAATGGACTCGGGTGGGTGCAGAGGGCTCAGGTGGAGCCCCAGGCAACTAAAAAATAGCCATGGCTCTGCTGTGGTCTGGGTGTTTTTCTGCGTCTTTCTCCAGGGGTTGGGTATTTCAGGGGGGGTGGAGGGACCTGGCTGAAGGCTCGACCTCCTCCTCCTCCTCCCATGGGTCTGAGGTCCCCGGCAGCTCCGCTGCCCCGGCCGGGACTCCCCGGGACTCACCCCTCCAGCCGGACCACCAGCCTCATTGGAAAAACTACTTTTGGAGGTGGAGGGGGTCTGGGTGGCAAAACCCGGCTGCCTGCACGCGACCTTCTGCAAATGCCATTCACTGAATCATTTAAGACAGAATAAGATCAACTAAGGTTTGCTAATGAGAGGCCAGATGGGAGGTGGGGCGGGAGGGAAGGAGCCGCATGGGCTCCGGCAGCAGGTAGCGAGTCGGAGCCGGGATGGGATTTACACTCCTGGCAGAGCCCTTGCCCCCTTCCCTCTCCTGTTTTAAGGAGAAATTGTTGGTCTCCTTCAGAGGATGGATGAATTTTTGGTCAACAAGCTGAGAAACGGAGGAGAGGCTGCAGAGCTTGACCTTTTGCATGGGATGAGGCTCCTTGGGAGAGCACCAGTGAATCAGTCCCATTTTGGGTGTCTCCAGCCCATGGACCACGCCAGTTCATGGCTCCCTTGAACGCTTCATGATGGCAAATTCTAGGTGGCTTGCACAGGTGCAAAAGCCCTGGACCACGGTGCCAGAGCAGCCCCTGACCCCTTCTCCTCCCGCAGGAGCCCGGCTCGGCTTTCCTGCAGTTGGGTGTCTCCATCGAGCAGCAAATCCAGGTGATCTTCAAGGTGTTGGAGGAATACGACTGGGGCTCCTTCGCCGTCATCACCAGCCTCTACCCGGGCTACAACATCTTCCTGGACGTCATCCACTCCTTCACGGATGCCAGCTACTTTGGCTGGGAGCTGCAGGAGGTACTCACCTTTGAGATGAGCCAGGAGCGGAGCAGCTCCAGGACGCAGCGGCTCCTGCGGCAGATCGATGCCCAGGTCCTCATTGTCTACTGCTCACGAGAGGAGGCCGAGTACCTCTTCACCATGGCGGAGCAAGCCGGCCTCGTGGGGCCGGGCTATGTCTGGATCGTGCCCAGCCTGATGGTGGGCAACATGGAGGTGCCACCCGCCTCCTTCCCCGTCGGCCTCATCAGCGTGGTGACGGAGAGCTGGAAGCTGAGCCTGCGGCAGAAGGTGCGGGATGGGGTGGCCATCATTGCCATGGGGGCAGCCAGCTTCTTCCGGGCCCACGGCTACCTCCCGGAGGTGGGACGGGACTGCCGGGACCCCGCCGGGGCCACCGCCACCAACACCAGCTTCTACCGGTGAGGCTCGGGGACCCACTGGGATGGGTGTGAAATGGAGGGGAATGGGGAAACGGAGAGGGAAGGGGCAGGGGAGGAGGAGGATGGAGCTGGCGGGCAGGGGGGGTGGTGCTCACTGTGGGCTGCAGCTGGTGGTCCATGCCTCTTGGCTGGGTTTCTCCTGGAGCATCCCCACAGAGCAGCCCTTGCCTTTTCCCGTGCTTCTCTGCGACCCGGGTCCCACGGGGGTCTCGGGGTGGGGTTCACAGCTCTGCTTTGCGGTGCAGACGTGGCACCTCGGGGCTGCTGTGGCGGTCTGCATCCTCAACCCTGCAGTGGTCCATCCTCGGTGCCTCCTTGCTGGCAGGGCTTTCTCCAGCTCCCCGCTGACCCTTGCGTAGGGGCTCAACCTGGTCCCCAGCTCTCAGCCCCACGTCTCTCTGTGGGACCCATGGCAGCCTGGCTGGAGCCGGAGGAGGAGCGCTGTATGGGGCTGGGCTGCACAGCCAGGGGCTTACAGACACTGTGTCCCACCAGGCACCTCCTCAACGTGACGTGGGAGCACAGGGACTTCTCCTTCAATGAAGGCGGCTACCTGGTCAGGCCCACCATGGTGGTGATCTCGCTCAACCAGCACCGGCTCTGGGAGATGGTAGGACACCCGGACCCCCCCTGGGACGGGTACACTGGGGGGTGGCCAGGCAGGGTGAGCCTGGGGCCATGCACAGGCTGGGGTCCCATCGTGGGGCAGGTTGTCCCATGCAAAACCCATGGCTGGTACCAAAAGCACCCACGGTGGCATGGTGGGGCTTCGCAGCAATGCCGGGCACCAAAGCTGTGCAAAGAACCGGGTTTTTTTGTCCCCTGCAATTTGGCTGAAAAGTTCCAAAAGAGGCAAAAATACAGCTGCCCACCTCTGGACATCAGCAGCCAAGCACCTAGACCTCAAACAAGCTGTGCAGAGGGTTTTTTTTTTCTAGTTTAAAAGTATTTTGGGTGAAGTTTGGCCAGGTTTGTGCTCACCCAAGCCCGATGCTGGGGGCCCAGGAGGAAACACCTCGCCCCGTGGTCAGTGGGTGCGTGGGGAAAGGGATGCTGAGGTGGGTCTCACCATGGCTGAGCTCCAGCCTAACGATGCTCTGGGAGAAATGAGCCTTGATGGCATGGGGAGGATGGACATGGGACCCTGTGTGACCCCCAGAGCCCCTCGCCAGGGTGACGGTGCGCTCTCCCTTGGGGGCAGGTGGGCAAGTGGGAGAAAGGCATCATCCACATGAAGTACCCGGTATGGCCCCGCTACGGCTCCTTCCTGCAGCCTGTGGCCGACAACCGCCACCTGACGGTGGCCACACTGGAGGAGAGACCCTTTGTCATCGTGGAGAACACGGACCCCAGCACCGGGGTCTGCGTGCGCAACACCGTGCCCTGCCGCAAGCAGACCAACTCCTCCCAGAGGTGAGCAGCGAGGGTGAATCTCGGCGATTTTGGACACCACGTGGTGTCCAGGGGGCACCGGGGTGCTCAGGGCATCCCTGGTTGGTCCAGCCCATTTTTCCTGGTGTGGTTTCAGTGTCGATGGCCTCGTGGATCCGTACACCAAGCTGTGCTGCAAGGGCTTCTGCATCGACATCCTGAAGAAGCTGGCCAAGGCGGTGAAATTCTCCTACGACCTCTACCTAGTGACCAATGGCAAACACGGCAAGATCGTCCGTGGGGTCTGGAACGGCATGATTGGTGAGGTAGGGGTGGGCATGGCTCGGACCCCACCTTTGGTCCTCCCTGGGGGGCACCGCTCGCTCGGGGCACGCCTTGACCTGGGGCTTTTCTGCAGGAGATGGTGTCAGGGTGTCTGCGGTGGGACTCTGGGCAGGGGACAGCTTGGCATGAACTTATGGGCAAGGCTTGGTGGAGGAGACCGGGGAGGGAGTCAGCTGAACATTTACAACCCCAGAGCTGGTTGTGTTTGTGTCACTGGTCATTTAAGAAGCTAATGTTTAAAAAAAAAAGACAAAAGTTAATGTTGGAAATGCTGGAGATGAGGAAATGCCTGGGGAAGGTGGTCTGGGTCCTTCTGCCTGTCCATCTGCCCATCCCGAGACCATCTGCCCCTTCCCCAGGTGTACTACAAGCGTGCGGACATGGCCATCGGCTCCCTCACCATCAACGAGGAGCGCTCCGAGATCGTGGACTTCTCCGTGCCCTTCGTGGAGACAGGCATCAGCGTCATGGTGGCCAGGAGCAACGGCACTGTCTCCCCCTCTGCCTTCCTGGGTGAGCCATGTGTCCCTCCGTCTGTCTGGCTGGCTGGCTACAGGTTCATCCCACGCTACCGACAAATGTCAATTAGAAATATTGTTCAGTTTTAATAACTTTTAAGAAAAAAACCCCTAAGTCATAAAGGAAGGAGGTTGTGCTGCCGGCTTTGGGGCTTCCTCCTCCCCTCGCCTGAATAATCCTTTTATTATGGAGACGGAGGCTGGGATCGGTGGTTTCCTCCTTTTCATTATTTGTGTGGAGGGGGGGAGGATGGGGACGTGGGGGGAGTCAAGGCTGGGATTTGCCAGCTCTGAGCTCTGCTCCGGGGACCCCTTCTCTGCCACGGTCACCAGAGCCCATGGTTAAAGCCCGGTGTAGGAAACCACTGGTGCTAAAAGTTTTATTTAATGAGTTTTAGAAAAGCAAAGCTGCAGCCTAGGAAGGGGAGGAGACTGGCCAAGGTCGTCATGAAATTCAGCCTGAGCGCTCGAGCAGGGCTTGAGGCTCTCGGCAAGGGCACAGTAGCGGCGTCTCAGCTCGGCTGGAGCCAGGCGCCCGCCCGGGGAGGCAGCGGGTGCCAGGGATGCCGTGGGGTGCAGGACAGTGCCAGCCTGGGCACATCTCCCCCCTCCTGTCCCCCCCATGCCGTGCAGCCCGAACCCCTGAAGCCGGGGTCACCTTGACTGGCCCCGGGGACAGGCGGAGCATCCCTCCCCGGTTCGGCAGGGTCCTGGTCCATGGACCCTGCGCCGCCACCTCCCGCGCTAATGAGCCGCATCCCCATCAGGGGAGGCCTCTCCTCCCTGACAGCGAAGGACGTGCTGACAAATGGACCTTGGTGGCCGCATGTCGAGGGCTCCCCACTGCTCCCGCCGCCCCGTCCCGGCTCACCCTGGGCGGGCGGGGGCTCACTACCCACCCCCAGCACCCGGGGGGCTCTCCCAGGGGCTGAGCGGGGCTGGTCCCGTGCCCGGTGCAGGCACGATCCCATGGCCGGAGCCACTGCAGGGGACAACCCGTGATCCCGTGGGAAACGCTCCCGCTGATGACCCTGGGGATTGTGCAGTGTCTCATTAGCATCTCCCCACTGATGAAAGCCTGATTTTATTTAGTCAGGGAAGTGTGGCTGCATCCCCCTGTCTCGCAGCATCCCCCTTCCCTCCTGATGTCCTGTGGATCTGGTCGGCCGTGGTGTTGCCAGCCCCTGTCTCCTCTCTGAGGAGGGGCAATATTCAGGAGGATGAGCCCCATCCATCGGGGAGGGCTCCTGGGGGTCCCCGGGGGGCCGTGGGTTGTGCCGGGGGGCTGACGGGGTCCCGCTCGCCTTGCAGAGCCCTACAGCCCAGCCGTGTGGGTCATGATGTTCGTGATGTGCCTCACTGTGGTGGCCGTCACCGTCTTCGTGTTCGAGTATTTCAGTCCCGTCGGCTACAACCAGAACCTCACCAGCGGCAAGAGTGAGTGGGGGAGGCAGGAGCTGGGGGGGGGGACACACGTCCCCAGCCGGGCTGACGGCCGTCCCCGCCGTCCCCTGTCCCCGCAGGGCCGGGAGGTCCCTCCTTCACCATTGGCAAGTCGGTGTGGCTGCTGTGGGCTCTGGTCTTCAACAACTCGGTGCCCATCGAGAACCCCAAGGGCACCACCAGCAAGATCATGGTGCTCATCTGGGCCTTCTTCGCCGTCATCTTCCTCGCCAGCTACACCGCCAACCTGGCCGCCTTCATGATCCAGGAGCAGTACATTGACACCGTGTCGGGGCTGAGCGACAGGAAGGTGGGGCTGATGATTGGGCTGGGATCCCTAAAAAAATAATAAGGTTTTTTTTGGGTGGGGAGAAGTCCCCAGGTGTCACTGCCAGCCGGCTGGGCATGGGTGGGTGAGTGGATGGAGGGCTGGCTTTGGGGGGCAAGGGACATGCTGGGGACATGCTGGGGACATGGCAGGGACACGGACCCCGCGTGATGCCACTTCCCGGGGCTCCCTGTTGTAGTTTCAGAAGCCACAGGAGCAGTACCCCCCCTTCCGCTTCGGCACCGTCCCCAATGGCAGCACCGAGAGGAACATCCGCAGCAACTACCCTGACATGCACACCCACATGGTGAAATACAACCAGCGCTCCGTGGAGGACGCCCTCACCAGCCTCAAAATGGGGTACGGCTCCCCCACGTGGTGTACGGCTCGCCCGGGTCAGGGCTCTCCCCCAAATGGGGTAGGGCTTCCTCAACTGGGGTACAGCTCCCCCCTCAAGTGAGATATGGGCTCCCCAGGCTGGGTATGGCCTCCCAGATG